TGACTAGCACACGTGGTGAGAAACAAGAGCGTGCGCACGCGTCATTTGTTTCTCCAGATCGAATGGAATGATCTAGAAACAATTAAGCGATATCATATCGCTCCATTCCGCTCCCAAAAATATTTCCAGAATTGGACGTACCTCTTAGTGGGGGGCGTGCTCTCTCAGCCAGCATGTAAGAGAACAGCTCTGCGAAGCTGAACAAGCTCGAATGAGTCAACGGTTACGGCGACAGCGGCGGCAGGACAGCTCTATGCATGTCCAACGCGTGGTGAGAAACAAAAGAGCGAGCGCACGCGTCATTTGTTTTAAAAATAATGTTCTAGACTTTTCTCCTACCTCAAAGCGGGGGGCGGGACATGAGAAACAAAAGAGCGTGCGCACGCCGCACGCGTCATTTGTTACTCCTGGTAAAGCCTGGTCCGTGAGCACGTAGAATTTTGTCCAATGACCCCATGCTACCCATCCTTTTCGCTCGCGCGTAATTATGTTGCTGTCGTGCTCGCACCCTCACTGCGGGCGCCCGTCGCACAGTCGCGACAGCAATATAATTACGCGCGAGCGATAAGGATGGGTAGCTTGGGGTCATTGGACAAAATTCTACGTGCTCACGGACCAGGCTTTAGAGTAGAAGAACTTTCTAGACCTACCTCTTAGTGGGGGGCGTGCTCTCTCAGCCAGCATATAAGAGAACAGCTCTGCGAAGCTGAACAAGCTAGACTGAGTCAGCGGCGACAGCGGCGGCAGGACAGCTCTCTGCATGTCCAACGCGTGGTGCCATAGCTGCCGGCACCGCGCGAAGCGACCGGCGTCCGCGTATACTGCTCCTCTGTATCGGACGTAGTAAGACGTGTCTGGGTGCGCTGGGCCTGAAAACGATATGTTTTAAATAAGCAACTTTATTTTGCATTNATTCATGACGTCTCACCAGCTTGTATCTATAAATAATAGATAAAATCTAAGAGCTTCCTTAAACTGTATCGGTAATCGGTACATAAGATGACGTCATTTTTTCTTGTATTGGAAAAACATTATTATGTAGGTTTGTACCTACTAATCAATGTTTGATTAATGCTAATAATACTATTGATAGTCTTACAAAGTAAGGCTTCATCGTCACCATTATTATCTATTTACTAAAAAAAAAAAAAAGTTCAATTTTCACTCCATATTCTGTTTTAGAATTGGTTCGTATAAATTATTTATGTAGGTATAACGTTAGAATTCTCATAAGAAGAGATGCGACATCATGAAATACATTGAATCATTTCTTATCTTGCTAAATCTTTTAGACAAGCAAAGTATCTTATTATGCGTTAAAGCGATAATAACTGTGCCTTTATAAATATAACACAATAATAATTACACTGTAATCAATGTAATAGAAAATTGAAGCATTGGGTGCAACAAGGGCGTATCTTGCAAAATCGAGTTTCGAGAAAATTGATGTTGAAAGTTTTAAAGTCTCTTATCTTTATAATAATAATAAATAATAATAAATCTTTGGACAATTTCACACAGCGCCAGCTAGCCCCAAAGTAAGCAACTTAATGCTTGTGTTATGGGTTCTAGCTTAACGGATATACTACTTATATACTTTTTTTATATATATAATACTTATAATACTTATAATTTGACTTACATTTACTTTTTTATTTATTAGTCCTATTATTTAGCAAAAAGGTTAAGGTATTATAATTATTTTAAAGTAATCAGAAACATCTTAAAATCAAGTTTTTTTTACCCTTGTTATCCGCCCTTGTTGCACCAAACTGGTAAAACAGATAGGGCGTTAATTTTATTATTGATTTTTAAGGAAAAATAAATAACAACTTGAATATTTATGTAATAACTTTTAATTAAAATGTAACTTATACATGTCTGTCTATTGCAATCACCGTTCAAATAATCAAATTTTCATCATTTTTTCCGACTTTCGTGTCTTTAATCAGTTTCGTCTAAATCATCACTAGACTCAAGGGAATCATCTGAATCAGCTGCAACTGGCCTCCTGGATGATCCAGCCTGATCCTCCAGATCTGCATCGAAGGTTAAGACCTGTTTTAACCACTCAGCATTTTCAGGTTTCATGAATGGTGTCAAGGATAAAACGTCCCTAATTTTTACGTCTTTTGCTCCAGGTTTTTCTACCTGCTGCAAATTCAAATCATGTTTGCTGACTGGCAAAACATTCTTCTTAAATATAAAATTTAGATCTGGAGATGCATAAAATCTTGATGTCGTTATCACTCCTTCAGGACTAAAGTCTAGTTTGACATATTGTTGTATAGCAAACCGAGCTTTGTTTTTTCCGGTGGCTGTAGGTGTCTTAGACAAAAAGACCTGTAAACCTTTATTCCAATCTTCAATAAGGTAGCTAGCCATCGATACGTTGAACGGGCTAGGATTGCTTCTTGCTGATGACATCACTTTCAAATCTTGTTCAGCTGTCTCAATCGTTTCCAAAGACTTTAGCAATATGCCATACCTTCCGAAGTTTCTGTCACATTGGTTATAAGAGTGGCCTCTTACTGGAAATATGTGTTCAATTGGCATGTTTAAGCTTTTGGCCAACCATGTGGAGAACATTACCATTGTTATATTTTTGTTTTGGCCTCCACAAGCATCAGAAAAAAATACTATCTTCTTTATATTAGGCAAAGCTTGTAACTTTTGTTCAACAAAATGATGTATGAAAGAACAGACAGTATTGGGGCCCTTTTTGGAATCTATTTCCAGAAAACAATAAAAGGAACTTGATCCATCATTGTGACAGTGAATGTTGAAGTTGAAAAGCCATAATAATCTTTTATAAAATTGTGAAGTTATGTTAAGTTTTGGTATGGGCAAATTTTGAGCATAATCAAACTCCAATATAAGTGTTTCTGTGTCAGGATTATTCTGAACTGACTCCAAAAGATTTTTTTTCAGCGCATTATATGAGTCTATTTTTTTCAAATGCAACATGTATTGAATCTGACATGGATCTTCAGGTTTAGTTTCTAATAGAACTTTACATTTAGTACAGTAGTCACAGACATCTGTTCTAGGTTGTCTAAACGAGTAAATACTGTTTTCACGAAAATATCTGTGATAGGTGTTGTACCTCATTTTTAAGACAGTACTCGTTTGCTCAAAATAATACTGCTGAAAGGCTTTGTAAAGTTTCAAAACCGATAAATCCGGATTTTCAAAATATCTCCTTTCACTGGCTCGACCATAGTGTGATTTCTTGCTAGGAAATAAAGCCCAGTGCTCTTTTATCATATTATGGACGTCCTGACCAATTTTGTTGGGACGATTGTCATGTTTTCCTCTCATGTCACGAACTGGTTCTCCTGTCAATTTAGTTTTTTGGACTACTCTTAACCGTTTTTCCGATATTTTCAGTAGCGACAGCAATAATTTTCTGCAAATATTGATCTTTATACCATCTACAGTTAAAAAGTATTTCCATTGATTATCTCGTTTCAACTTGTTAGGTCCAACATTCTCTCTCAACTTTAAAACTTTTTCTAAACACGTCATTAAGAGGGTATCTTGCTGCGCTTTGTCGCATATATTCCAAAAGTCACGAAAAAATCTTCTCTGTGCATTTTGATCGAGGTTAATACAACATTTTTTGGAACAACACGTAGTAATGTGTTTAAAAACTTTCTTAGGTACCTTCTTTCCTCGAGCTGATGTGTATTCTTCACCCAAACTTCTGTTTAACTTTCGCACATTTTTCTTCCACAAGTTTGCATTCCTGACCTTCTTTCTCCCCTTTTTCTTGGGTGGCTCATGTTCACTCTGGCTAGTATCTGATCTCAAGTCACTTGAATCACTCGTTTCATACATTTTTTACATCAATAACTTTTTACTAACTGCAGACACGTCGTTACGTGTTCCAATTCAAACGCACTTTTCTTATCTATGCAACAAGGGCGTAGCGCCACCTTAGACATTATTGATTCTCACGCCACCTAGAAGCGTTAGATCAAAACGAGTTTTTGGGATATGATACTAGATGGATCTGTGCATGCTTTGGTGTAATAACATCAAAACGGACTTTGGGTGCCGAACGCCCTTGTTGCTCCCAATGCTTCAATTATTGATGCATCAAAAAAGAATTTGGGCCGCTTGTAATAACAACCGGACTAGTGGACTTTGGTCAGTCGAAGAAAGAACCGACCACAAAAAATAAACTATGTATTATGTAGGTACCTACCAGTACTACCACTACTTGTAACCTTTAGTTTAGATTAAGGACATTTTTTAATAATACCAAAAAATAATGCGATTTTATTTTACGAATCGATGACGCTGCCACAAACTCATAATAATGAATGAGTCTTTCTTCCCTTTCTATGAAGTATAAATTGAGAATTTATTAGTATTTTCTTATTTCTTCTTTGCATGATTATAAAAATTCAATCATCACAATACTGAAGCTGACTGAATCAAGGTGTCTGAATAAAGACACGGAGTAGGAGCTTGGTTTAATATTGTCTCAGAAAATGTTAGACGCTTTGGTTTCAGTACATGACATAAACCTATTTTTTGTTTCTTGAACTTTGTTTGATATTTAGTCATAATTCATATTTTATCGTCTGGCGTAGAGATTTCTACACGATTAACATGAATTTATTCCAATTAATTCGCCTTAGAATGGCGACCTTTTTTTTTAGACGTCAATACGATTTTCCCTAAAAAAAAAAAAAAAAATTGAATGCTGGGGCAACAGGTACATCAGTAGTACCATATTGCCCATTTAAGCTTACCTTTCCTTGGCAGTGAGTTTTGTATTTGGCAGTCGTGGATCAAACAAAACGTACCAGACTCCGCTATACACTCCGCAAATAATAAATAAATATCCTTCCTTGGACATTACACTACGCTTCTAGTCCTAAGCAAAGNCGACGAGCGCCGCGCAGCAAGGACTAGCATCTACTGGCGCGTGCTTGAGAGCAGACTATGACGTCACATGGCAGGCACATGTTACTTAGCAGACAATGTACCTTGCAGACGAGGTGCAGCGGCGTGTTCCCAGAGGCGTCACGAGCGCGCGGCGAGGCTCCGAGACGTAGCATGAGAGCCACAAGCGCCGCGCAGCAAGGATTGGCGTCGCCGGGTGCGGGCAGCCAAGCACCACCGCCGCGAGCTCCCCGGCCTTCGGCTGAGCACGCTACGTGGAGTGCAGAGCGACCTTGCCGTACCTGACGATAAAAAATCTAAGATAAAAACAGAAACACACACCATATACAGCGCTCAGCACTAGCTGGAACTAACAATCAAAAAATTCAAAATAAAAGAACGGTGCGTCCGCTAAAACCTACGGGTACGGCCGCCTTTTAATGCATTGAAATACCTGCGTTCACTGCTTTTTCGGTACGTACACAACTGCACGCGGGGTTCGTATCAAACTTAAAATTAGCGAGTAGACACGTACACGCTTACGCTACGCATTGGTTCCCAAAGTGGGCGAGGCGCAAAGACCTCTAAAGGGGGGCACGGGCCATCTGTGTACTTAAGTAAAAAAAACCTGCGACCGCTGAGAGAATGCATTCCAGACTGCTCGATACGACCTATAAATAATCTTGACTGGAGGAGGGGCGGGGCGTGGATTTTTTTGTATGGTCGAAAGGGGGCGCGTTTCAAATAAGTTTGGGAACCAAAGCGCTACGGGTTTGTTACAATCTTTAAACCTTGTTGGATGTATCACAGGTCAACTGAGTTCAAAAAAAATTATGTAATCTATTACATAGTTGTCTACAACTATCAGATCATATGCGAAATTCAGGGCTCCTCAACCCGTCTAACCAGCGTGTGGAGAATAGGCCATTCTTCCTTTTGCCTCTGTAAAACCTTGCCGTAAAGTCTAAATTAACTAATTATGAAATGGTAGACATTGCTAAGTAAATCAAGCGCTCACCTTAATATCTAACTTAACGAGTGAGTACACTGCCTTGTGGATATTGCTGGATACTTCTTCCGTGCACTCCGGGTCTTCCAATAGCCGCGCCATTAGCGTGGCCAAGTGTAGAGATATCACTAGTACCCTGTAATAACGGACATTTGGTTTGGTTAACATCTACGAGTTAGGCAAATGCAATGTTTTTAAAAAACTGACTCTAAAAAAGTCTTATCAAAAATGAACTCCATCTCGTAGGTCAAAACGAGTCTTTTGGAGTATTTTTTAAAGGATTACGTACATCTTGCTTTTTCATGAACTTTGTTGTCACTAATGAAGACAGGCAGAGTTCATTGGAACTCTTCTAGTGATAGAGACTGAAAAGTCAGGTTTTTTTTTTTTCATTTAATACGAATTAAAAACTAAACAACAGAACCAATTTAGATTAAACTTAGGCCGAGTTGCACCATCTTACTTTAACTTTAACAAACGTCAAACAACTTTCAAACATCCCTTATGTCTATTCTCCGTGGCAACGTTCGCTGCTTCCCCATGTCTGTTCGGTACACTATATACAACTCCTTAGTGAAACCCCACCTGGATTATTTGATCGAAGTTTACGGTAGCGCTCCCAAAACGAACTTGAAAAAACTACAAACATCGCAAAACAAAATTATAAAACTACTGTTCCAATTTCCCTACTTAACACCAACAATAGAAGTCTATAGGAAAACCGGCTTAATGTCAATAGCTCAAATGTATAAATTTAATACATGTTTACTTGTACATAAAATATTAAGAAAAACTATTCACACACAACTATCATTTATAACAAAATCACAATCACAAAATCGTTCCTTAAGAAGACCTTACGATATTCAATTACCGTCACCCAGAACCAATTATGGCAAGAAAAATATAATGTACGAGGGGGCACAACTATTTAACGGGCTGCCAAATGATATAAAAAANGAGTGAGTACACCGCCTTGTGAATATTGCTGGATACTTCTTCTGTGCACTCCGGGTCTTCCAATAGCCGCGCCATTAGCGTGGCCAAGTGCAGAGATATCACTAGTACCCTGTAATTATGAACATTAATTGGTTATTATCGATGCATTTGATATGAGTGAGCTTTACACGCTTGTAAATTGGCTCCAAAAAAACTATATGCACCAATGCTACGGAGAGAGCGTTTTTGTCACCAATCAAAATCGGCATAGTTCACTGGGACATTAGAAAGTGATAATAAATATCACTGAGGAGTCACAGGAAAGGAAATCAAACAATTTCATTGACATGGATGACATACTATTTTTCCACTTCATCATCATCATCATTGTTTGAGCCATAGGACGTCCACTGCTCGACATAGGCCTACCCCAATAATTTCCATGTTGATCGGTTGGTAGCTACCTGCGTCGAGCGCCTTACACCTGTATTGTTTTTCCACTTAATATGAGTTAAAAACTAAAATACTGAGTCAATTTTGATGAGTATATCTTTTCAAATAACTTTAAGGATATATTTTTGTGAACAGAGGACCAATCTCTTTTTGAAGTCTCAGTAGCATTGTAACCTTACCTTTGCAGCGTGGTCAGCGTCTGTTCCCTGTCGATGCTGAGCTTCGAGTCTAACAGCTCCATGCCGCGGTGGATCTCTGACAGCGCCTTCCTGAACACCGGGTCTACGTCGTCGAACGTCACCGGAGGGACTATGCGACCTGGCGAAGAGAAATAATACTATTGTATCCTTAAAAAGATCAATAGAGTTCGTATCCATAAACATAAATCTACACACAAGAATAAACTCAAATCTTTGATTGCTCGATTTAGCATCCAAAGTTTTTTACAGATTTCAGCCTGCCTCTGAGCGAGGGGCGAGCATTTCTAATGCGTAACGTAGTAAGAAGACAAAAGAGCGAGCTCGCATCATTCACTGCACAGAAAAAAAATCATTAGATAATTGAGAGACTTTTATAACCAAACCATGTCGTTCCATTTACAATGGAAGGACACACACATTTACGGGTGGAAGGTTCTAGACTCTTGACCTAGCTGAGCAGGGAGAAACAAAAGAGCGTACGCACGCGTCACTTCTTTCATCTAGTTTAAAATAATGTTCTAGACTATTGACCTACCTCTTAGTGGAGGACGTGCTCTCTCAGCCAGCATATAAGAGAACAGCTCTGCGAAGCTGAACAAGCTAGACTGAGTCAGCGGCGACAGCGGCGGCAGGACAGCTCTCTGCATGTCCAACGCGTGGTGAGAAACAAAAGAGCGCACGCGTCATTTGTTTCATCTGGCTTAATAGTATATTCTAGACTCTTCACCTACCTCAGAGCGGGGGGCGGGGCATGACTAGCACGTGGTGAGAAACAAAAGAGCGAGCGCACGCGTCATTTGTTTTAAAAATAATGTTCTAGACTTTTCTCCTACCTCAAAGCGGGGGGCGAGACATGAGAAACAAAAGAGCGTGCGCACGCCGCACGCGTCATTTGTTACTCCTGGTAAAGCCTGGTCCGTGAGTACGTAGAATTTTGTCCAATGACCCCAAGCTACCCATCCTTATCGCTCGCGCGTAATTATATTGCTGTCGCGACTGTGCGACGGGCGCCCCGCAGTGAGGGTGCGAGCACGACAGCAACATAATTACGCGCGAGCGAAAAGGGTAGAAGAACTTTCTAGACCTACCTCTTAGTGGGTGGGGGGCGTGCTCTCTCAGCCAGCATGTAAGAGAACAGCTCTGCGAAGCTGAACAAGCTCGACTGAGTCAGCGGCGACAGCGGCGGCAGGACAGCTCTCTGCATGTCCAACGCGTGGTGAGAAACAAAAGAGCGCACGCGTCATTTGTTTCATCTGGCTTAATAGAATATTCTAGACTACCTCAGAGCGGGGGGCGGGGCATGACTAGCACGTGGTGAGAAAACAAAAGAGTGAGCGCACGCGTCATTTGTTTTAAAAATAATGTTCTAGACTTCTCTCCTACCTCAGAGCGGGGGGCGGGACATGAGAAACAAAAGAGCGTGCGCACGCCGCACGCTTCATTTGTTCTTCCTGACTTAATGGAATGTTCTAGACTATTCCTTCGAATTACCTCTTAGTGGAGGACGTGCTCTCTCAGCCAGCATGTAAGAGAACAGCTCTGCGAAGCTGAACAAGCTCGACTGAGTCAGCGGCGACAGCGGCGGCAGGACTGCTCTCTGCATGTCCAACGCATGGTGAGAAACAAAAGAGAGAGCGCACGCGTCATATGTTTCTCCTGACTTAACCCACTTGTTACTAGCGTTCTTTAAAAAGAACGCTAGTTTTTACATAAATATTTTTACTAATGTGGGTAGTGTAAACAATTTTTATGTGCAACATTTGAAAGATGGGGTGTGTCGCAGTACTGTCCAAGTCTTATAAGTGCACTGACGTAAATAACTATAAAGTTTTGGAGCGATTGTTTTGAGATAAATTTATCATGACTGATTTAAGGTAAGTGATAGAAAAAGTGAACTCCGTAACAAGTGGGTTAATGGAATGTTCTAGACTTTGGACCTACCTCTGAGCGGCAGCAGGATAGAAACAAAAGAGCGTGCGCACGCCGCACGCGTCATTTGTTTCCCCTGGTGAAGTAGAAGAACTTTCTAGACCTACCTCTTAGTGGGGGGCGTGCTCTCTCAGCCAGCATATAAGAGAACAGCTCTGCGAAGCTGAACAAGCTGGACTGAGTCAGCGGCGACAGCGGCGGCAGGACAGCTTTCTGCATGTCCAACGCGTGGTGCCTAGAGTGGAATATTCTAGACTAGTCCTTTCACTTACCTCTGATAAGAAATAAACAAAAGAACGAGTGCACCACGCGTCATTTGTTTCTTCGGATTATGTCAAACTTCAATTATGTGAGAAACAAAAGAGCGTGCACACGCGTCATTTGTTTCACCTGGGTTAAGGGAATGTTCTAGACTCTTCTCCTTCATTTGTTTCTCCGGATTATGTCCAGCTGGTGCATGGTGAGAAACAAAAGAGCGCACGCGTCATTTGTTTCACCTAGTTTAATGGAATGTTCTAGACTATTAACTTACCTCTGAGCGGGGGGGCGGGGCTTGACTAGCACGTGGTGAGAAACAAAAGAACATGCACGCACGTCATTTGATTCATCTTGAGTGGAATGTTCTAGACTTACCTCTTAGTGGGGGGCGTGCTCTCTCAGCCAGCATATAAGAGAACAGCTCTGCGAAGCTGAACAAGCTCGACTGTGTCAGCGGCGACAGCGGCGGCAGGACTGCTCTCTGCATGTCCAACGCGTGGTAAGAAACAAAAGAGCGCACGCGTCATTTGTTTCTCCAAGTGGAATGGAATGATCTAGAAACTATTGAGCTCTCAAGAAAGTACACTGCTGCTGCTCAGTTTGGTGAAGAGTACACTCTTCACCAAACTGAGCAGGGAGCGGGCACATTGCATGACTAGTACGTGGTGAGAAAACAAAAGAGCGTGCGCACGCCGCACGCGTCATTTGTTCTTCCCGAGTTAATGGAATGTTCTAGATTCTTGTCATCTTGAGTGGAATGTTCTAGTCTAGACTATTGACTTACCTCTTAGTGGAGGACGTGCTCTCTCAGCCAGCATGTAAGAGAACAGCTCTGCGAAGCTGAACAAGCTCGACTGAGTCAGCGGTGACAGCGGCGGCAGGACAGCTCTCTGCATGTCCAACGCGTGGTGCCATAGCTGCCGGCACCGCGCGAAGCGACCGGCGTCCGCGTATACAGCTCCTCTGTAGCGGACGTAGTAAGACGTGTCGGGATGCGCTGGGCCTGGAAACGATATGTTTAAATAAGCAACTTTATTTTGCATTCTTGGAATGGAACCTAAACTGGAGCAATGTTGCTTTTAAGACATATAATATTTACATGAATCGTATGCCCGATTTCACTATCAATTCCTAATTTTAATAAGTGACGCCTATGACGCAACAGAAATTTTGTTTTCATAGGGGTCATTTAAAATTAGAGATTGATGGTGAATCGGTGCGAGCGATCGATGGGTCGGAAAATATTAGGCTAAGCTCAGATGATCATGAGGCGAGGTACATTCTAACGTGCGTAAAGAGACTCCGCGAAATGAGGGTTTGAGAAGAAGAAAATGGTCCCCCCCTGAATAAAAACCATGGAATTTGCCACGGGCCTCGGATGGTATAGTTAAGCCACTATCTCCGGTCCAAAAGACGTTAAAGGAAACTCAGCGCAGTCTGCGCAGTAAACAATCATCTTATAATCACTTTTTATTAGTCTCCTCCCTGAATTGAGCTAAAGACATGAATTAAGGATCATAAAAAATAACTAGCAATAAATTAAGAACCATTAAACGAACCACGTGTTGATTTCTCATGGTCAGGGTTTTCCTTTATTGCCAATAAAGAAAAACAATTGCAGGCTTCTCCTTTTGCGTAGTTTTTGCGTCATACCTATATGTATAGCCTGACCAGGAACATAAAAACCCTGGCATAGAGGCGCTTCAATTGCATTTGATAGTGCAACACTGAGTACAGTCGTACCTGTGTTAAATTAATAGGCTAACTTTATGTATCAGGATTCAGGATTACAGGCTAATTTGATATTTTCATAAATTAACGAAAACATATTATTATAGGTAACCTAGTTTAAATAAATTAAATGAAACCATCAATCGAGGTAGTAGGATTTATTTTATTATTCATCAATAATCAAAATCAGAACTTCAATATTCAACTGCAATGTCTGCTCATGAACGCTTCAAACTCGGTACTTCTTTCTCATATCCATAAAATTCAACACTTAGAAAGTGACAAAAAACTTTAAAATAGGTAGTTGAAACAAACCACAGCTAATTTTCATAGTGGACTGTACTATACGATAAACATGTCAGTCAATTTGACAACCTTTGTCGGAAACATTATTCAATGAAAATATTGTCCGAACCCTTAGTATTTCTCTTCGACAAATACTTTAACACATTGTGAACCACTTTTCTTTCACGACTATAAAAAGATTTTAGCAATTTAATTCACAAAATCAATTGCGCACATTTAAAATAAAGTTTGTTTACACTTTGACAGCAATAGACTGACATGCAAGGTGACATGTCAATGAAGTTTTCAGTTACTGTTGCCATTAAAAGAAATTAGTACCATTAATTTTCCGCATCATGGCGAGGGTTTTTATGTTCCTGGTCGGGCTATATTTTAAAGATTCGGCCAAACAGTCTTGTCTTTCGACTTAAAACCTTCTTTGTTTTTTTATAGCTTAGCCTTTGCTCGCGACATAAGTATAATATAAAGCCTGGTCTGTGAGCACGTAGAATTTTGTTCAATGACCCCTAGCTACCCATCCTTATCGCTCGCGCGTAATTATATTGCTGTCGCGACTGTGCGACTGGCACCCGCAGTGAGTGTGCGAGCGTGATAGCAACATAATTACGCGCGAGCGCTAAGGATGCGTAGCTAAGGGTCATTGGACAAAATTCTACGTGCTCACAGACCAGACTATAGTATAGGCGAAGTTTATGTTTGACAGTTTCCACGTACCTAGAATCCTATAATAACGAGAGGATTTGGCCTACACTTCCCACGCTCTAAGTAATCTACCAAATATCAGTGTAAAATTTGAAAGTTTAGTCGTACCTAGAATCCTTTCTCTAATGACGAGAGCTTGCATCCTCATGGCATCAGGGTCGGCTAGTATTTCCTCCAGTTGCTGTGCGTTGCTGGGCTCGACCGCGAAGTCGTATGCTTCTATGCGCGGCACGTCTTTCGGCTTTGGAATGGGTTCCGTGCCGTCGGCGGGAAATCTGGAAGAAAAAAGAAAGAATAATTTTAGAACATGGTAACATCATAATATGTACCGGAAAACGCAGCGTGGGACGTCCACCTACAAGGTGGACCGACGACATCGTAAAGGTAGCAGAGAAGCGCTGGACGCAGGCCGCTACCAATCGATCAACGTGGAAAGCTTTTGGGGAGGCTTATGTTCAGCAGTGGACGTCCTATGGCTGAAATGACGATGATGAACATCATATTTGAGGACTTTTCGTTTCGTTTTTCAGCCGAATCCGTCCTCTGCTCGATAAAGGCACGGTAATACTATTATTACCGTGATAAAGGCTTTCCCCACGGATTTCCATAACGACTGGTACTGCGCTACCCGTACCCAGGTGCTTCAACCCACCCGTGAATATGATTCCTTGTGGGCAGTAAACGAGTGTCCCGTGAGGCTTATATATGTGACTCAAAAGTGGACAAAAAGAACTATGTGACTTCATCTTCAGGTTACTGCAGGAACATTATCTCTAATTTACCAGAAGCAAACGGAGAACTTGGCATACACTCCTCACGCTGTCTAGACGGGTTAGGTAGACCTAGCGTGCACATGTTGGTTCCTTAGTCGCTTTATCGACATCAAAGGTGATTTTAATGTAGGCGAAAAGGTATCTATTTCGCCGACCATTAGGCCTCAGATGCGCGCCGCGATAAGCGGTTATCACGCCATTTTATCGATTTTGCCCATACATTGATGTCGATAGAAGTTATCAAGGCGCGCATCTTAGGCCTACTGGTATCTTCTCTTGTCGACGTACGTCACTAAACCGTACTCCACTTTTATTACTGGGCAATAAGGTATCTATTCCCTCACCTGTCATCCATCGCTCGTTTCCATAGTGCTAAAGCCCCGACCATGTCTCTTCTCTTGTCGACGTACGTCGCTCCAAGGATTTCCAACGCATCGATACGTTGCTGCCTCGTCACTAAACCGTACTCCACGTTTATCACTGGGCAAAAAGGTATCTATTCCCTCACCTGTCATCCATCGCTCGTTTCCATAGTGCTAATGCCCCGACCATGTCTCTTCTCTAATCGACGTACGTCACCTCAAGGAGTTCTAACGCGTCGATACGTTGCTGCCTCGTTACAAACCGTACTCCACGCTTATTACTGGACAATAAAGTATCTATTCCCTCACCTATCATCCATCGCTCGTTTCCATAATGCTAGCGCGCCGACCATGTCTCTTCTCTTGTCGACGTACGTCGCTCCAAGGAGTTCCAACGCATCAATACGTTGCTGCCTCGTCACTAAACCGTACTCCACGTTTATTAAATGCTCGACTATGTGCGTGTGACCCGTTACTGATGCTGCTAGGAGTGGTGTCATTCCTGAAAGATGAAAAGGATTTGTTTTTATGAGGATCAAGTGATATGACTTAACATTGTATAAAAATGTGCAATAAACGAATTAAGTTTTAAGAAGTGCTGTAATCAAAACTACTAATCTGAAAAAAGTTGCAACTAATCTCGATGCAATTTTCATAATGTTGGCTTCACCAGGATATATCTTAAAGGTTAAATGGAAGGATAAAAAGAGCCACAATTGGCCTAAAGTACGGACATCTGGTTGTAAAGAAACCTTAAGTATCATTAATACGTTCAAGCGGTAGATGTTAACTATGATATGCAATAAAAGCTTTGTGGAAGCTTTGGGATAGCCAAAGCAATATTAAATCATTTTTAATTGAGTTTCCCTATTATTTAAACAGCCCAGCCAAGTCTACACTTCCAGAGGCTAAATCAATTAACAGAAATAGCCCAAACCTTAGATGGAAAGCAGTATTGATTAAAGTTAAAGACTAAAGTTCACTAGAAATCTGCTAAACTTTACCACGATTGTAACAACCACTATTATAGGTGTTTATAATGCGACATAATACTGTATTTTCATCAGCCATAGGCAGGGCCGGATCTACCTATGGGCTGATTGGGCTGCAGCCCAGGGCCCCGGGGTTACAAGGGGCCCCCAGATCCCGCTAAAAAGTAGGCCATAATTTGAAAAAAAAAAATAGTTGTCTGTAAAGTCGGTTTACGGACGATATTTTTACGTGATAACGTCATAAGAAGTTTCAGCCCAGGGCCCCACAAATTCACGATCCGGCCCTGGCCATAGGACGTTCACTGCTGAACATAGGCCTCCCCCAATGTTTTCCATGTTGCCCGGTTGGTTCAAGGGTTGATAATAGTGACTATTTATTGTCCCGAAGCAGTGGTAGAGTTAATACTGGACGTGTAAGTGGTTTTTAAAGGCCTAATTGCAAAAAATAAAATGAGTTTTATGAGTATTTTTGTGTTAGACTCTCCCTAAACTTACCATATGAATCAACGTCCATCGTAGCGCCATGCCCTAACAGCATCTTCAGTATATGCAGCGACCCGCTTTCAGCGCAGTCGTGTAGCGCTGTATTGCCTTTAACACTCTTTCTGTTGACATCAGCGTCCAAAGACAGCAGATACTTGGCGATTCTGATATGGCCCTTGTAACACGCGATCATCAAACACGTGTGCCCGTGCCGGTTGGCTATTTCTATGTCTGGAATGCGAATGGCGTGTCAGTAATTAGCACACTTGACGAGATAATTGAAAAATAACGGGTGGAACAATTGTAATGAATTTTTGCTGTTTAACGGACAGTTTAATAGCCACAGATAAAAACGTGATATTAAAATCAAGTGACTGTAAGTGAAATTGACCATTATTATTGACATGTATAAACTTTTATCAAGGCATTTTATCGATTTGCACGATAACCCCATACATTTGTCGTTGATAAGATTTTATCACGGCGCGCATCCTGGGCATAATACATAACTACATAAGCATGCAGTAGACCAACTCACCAGCGCCGTTCTCGACTAGGAACTTAACAATATCGTAGTGTCCGTCAAAGCACGCTGCCCTGAGTGGCGTGCTGTGCGTCCGCGTCGTAGAGTTCACATTCGCGCCAGCGCGAACCAGCAACCTGACCAGTTGTAGGTGACCTGCGGCCGCGGCGCACCATAGCGGTGGCGCACCTTCTATTGTTTCGCCGTCAAATGTCACTGGAACAAAAAAAGGACTTATTGTATCTGTCGTAATACGTAATATTTTGCATTATTTCAACGCACATGATGCCGTAAAGCCTAGGGAATGGTTCACCAGGGTTCGCGACAAGATTTTGCATATGAAAGTAATGAATACACTAGCTGCTAGCTCACGCGTGCGGAACGCTCCAAAAAATATTTTTTTTTTACATTCAGCCCGGTGCATACAAACTCATGCATCCGGCATAATGTTATCAAGATTATCGTTTATTCAAGGATTTTATCTATATTTCAATCATTGCAATTGCATTTACTTATAATAAATTGTGATAACAATATGTTATATGTGGTTTGTATCCATGTGCACTTGGTATGCACTTGCAATAACTTAATCAGATTGAAAATTTATAATAAATAGATTTCATTGAGATGAACGTAATATTCAAAATCAAATCTTAGCTTGTTACTTGTTACATTATAGGCGAACATTCCATTTATACTTCAATCAAAAGGTAGTAACAAAAACAGCCGTATTGTTTTATTCATCACTTCTGTTAAGGGTTAACCGCAATCAATACCCAAGGACAAGGTTATAAATATAAATAAGCTTTGTAAACGTGCCCTTGAGAGAGCCTTGGGTAATCAGTGAGCACGACCTTCACACCATTCTAGAATAATTCACGTTTCAGTCTAGCTTTTGTTGTAAGTCCTCGTCAATCACCGGCCTGGAGGAGGGCTGACAAATTGACAGTGACAAATACAGTAGAAATGTCTACTTAGTGCTAATTTTAGACATGGATTCTATGGAGAGTATAAAAGTTGAACGGAAAACAGGTCGGTCTGTAATTCTTTAATTTGTAGACCATGGGTTTTTTACATTTAATTTTGCGTTATTTTAGGTTCTAATAAGTAGGTACAAATTACCTTCACTGTTTCGAGATTTTATTGGCAGTCAAGCTGGCTACACAGGAGTTGCAGCGGTGGACACGAGAAGTGAGAATAGTCCCGTTTTTAGGTACAAATTAGACTACAACCCAAGAGCTTCCTCGATGTAGATAAAAAAAGGTAGTATTAAAAAAATCTGCTTAAATCTATTCTTGAATAGTTACTTGAGTGGCATTCTAATGATAATTCACATGCATCATGTGCAAGCGACATGTTGCGTGGAAATCTGGGAAAACTTGCTTTGGGCTCGATCGATGGCGCCTTGAAACCTGTTACCTGAGACTCTCCACTATAAAGCAATACCTAGGTAGTATGAAAATTAATGGATTATCCACTCATGGAACAATTTTAGAATTCGTGACGGATTCGGACGGTCTGCGTCCAACCCGTTTCGTTGCAGCCAATTGACGTCCACTGCTGGACAAAGGCCTCCTCCAAGGATGTCTACTGGTTACCGAAAAATAATATATCTGTTATTCGGTATCCGTCTTGAAAACATAGCATGATGCCTTATTGAAAACAGTAACTATAAACCTCTGGCTTGCCTTAACCGGCCGGCCAGAGTGGAGTCGCTAGAGCTATATGCTCCAGGGGTGGAAGTGTTAAAGGGCATAACGCCGCGAGTAACTTCGGAGAAAGCGCAGCACACCTCTCTACACCCCTGAGCTGGCAGACGCCAATGTTGCCCCTCAGTCCGGTCTATACGACCCATGACGCCAGGAGGGGCCCATTTAGTCGCTGGCTAAACACCGCCTGCCATTTTTTCAGTCCGAGACTATGAACCAGGCAGGTGTCCCGTAGTCTCCATCCATAGCCCAGTAACCAGTCCACCCATCCTTCATCCATAACCCTAGTCCATTCTCCAATAACTGCAATAGCTCCTGTGCACAGGCTGGGGATGGTCTCTGGCTACATCCCATGATATAGTCAGAGACTAGATCCAGCATGTGCACCACTTTCACTTTTGTCGATTATTTTGCGCTTAGAACGGCCTCTACGTGTTGGATCTGTATCCCCACGCAAGCCTTATAAAGGACAGGGCCACTTTTGACCCGTGAGCTCCAAAGCGTACAAACAATTCTGATAATACCGGATATTATTACAAGCAAATCGAAGGAAGAAGCCAACATTGCTTGATAGCCTATTATCTTCACTTCCTATATAATTCCTACAAGTTTACATTAGCGTTGAAAATTTATGAAATGCGTACACATTCTTTCCTCGTTTTTGCAATCGGCAAAACTCAAACATCTCAGGCACATTGTTTACAGCACTTCTATTAATGATGATGTTCACAATTTACACAATTTCCTTAAGAAAATTAATTAATATTTGATTTTAATTGAAAACATGATGTTTTGTGGTAGCATTTCGCCGACATTTTAAGACAATGACTTCTGACAACTTCTGTCATGCTTTGCCATGTTGTCGTTGAGAAACCAATTATTTTTTATCGAGTTAACTGTCAATCAAAAAATTCGATTTCGATCAAAAGAATCGAGATGTGGAGCAGACTGATCGCAAAATAAATCAAAGAAAAAATCGATTAAAAGTTTAAAAATAAGACTACAATCTTCCTTACTTTCAAACCAAACTTCCAAACAATAAATTTTACTACGACTTTGTAAAATGCTGAGTTCTTTAGCTGAGCCTATTTAAATTTTACACACATTTAGCTGCTAACAATCCACAATATGTAATCAATTGCTCACACGTTTGTCAATTGCCACATTTGCCAGAGAGTTGAGCGAGTCGCAACCGCGGTGTTTATTTAGTAAGGTGAAATGGCCAGCAGCCAAACTATTGACGCAATAGGAAAGTCATCANAGCCATCGCGAGCATTCGACAAAGAAATGTTACAGAGAACATAATTACAACAGAATTAAATGTTGGAATTACGAGAGCAGTTTTACTATTATTGTGAAGACGTAATTTTATTGTAATAGATAGTTATAATGGAGAGTTTGTGTACAGAAATGAAAGTACTATTTGAGCTGTTCTTTATCAACCTGCTAGTACTAGAATGTTTGTAGACTTTTGAGATAAACAACATAAATAATATCCACTTAATAAGACTGATATACGGGTATATTAATAACTACATAATGAACATAATATGCTCTACAGAAAAATTTACGACGCAGCTATTTCGTTTTCGGAATAATACATGCTAATTAATTAAGACAGAGAGTACGGAAGCATTCTCGTATACAAACATTTCGCAACACACGCATATAAAACAGCTGCCTATCTTCTGGGTATTCATTCAGTACTTTTTTTAAATCTCGTAGATAAAGTAGATTTCTTAGAAACAGAATGACGAATCACTAAATATTTAATACGAGCCCCTTTTCTCCGAGAATAAATAACCTTACCTATCTAAATTGAATACTTAGAAACGCTTTAAGATACCATTTCTTTCCTCTCTTTCGCACATAATCAACTCCTGTTTAGTCAGAATCTAGAGTTCTACTTAGCAAGCTATTTACCCGACTGCGCCAGAAGGAGGATCACATCCCCAAGCAGGCTCTGGATTGGAACCCCCAAGGAAAACGCAAACGTAGTCGCCCCAAGCAAACTTGGCGGCGCACTGTGGCAGACGAGGCGAAGAAGATCGGCAAGACTTGGAGCGAGATCAAACACATAGCTCAAGACCGAACGCGATGGAGGACTGTTGTGGACGCCCTCTGCCCTATCTAGGGGACATAGGACTATAAGTCAAGTAAGTCAAGCCAGAAGGAGGGTTATTTAGACTAGCTTTTTTCCGTAGCTTCACTCAAAATTCAGAATTTAGAGCTTCATCTTTGAAGCTGGCATGAAACTATGAGATAATGCTCACCTGATCCAGGCTGCTCAATATCCGCCTTGCACCTCTCAATGAGGTACTCAGCAACGTCGTAATGCCCGTTCCTGCAGGCGATGACCAGAGGTGTCGCGCCGCCGATCTTCGCACCCACCAACATGTTAAGCTCGTCTGCGGAGCGCCAACTGTGTAGGTACACCTGTGGACAAAGGAAATTGAGCTTTAATTTAGGTGCTGTAGAATTGATTTTTGTGTTATGGTGCGTCTAGACTGGGCGAACGGGCTCGCGCGGCACGCTGGTTATCCCGCTCACCCTGCTCTTGAGTGAGCAGGATGTGGAGTTTGCCGCGCGAGCCCGTTCGCCCAGTCTGGACGCACCATTACAGAAGTGAAGTAGATAATTTAGGCAACCTACAGACTACAGATTTTTAGTTGGCTGATAGTTGGGTCGACTTCAAATTTGTATGAAGAATCGGCCGATAACAAATCGGTGTAGTGTTCGCACTACCATACATGCTCGTACTGATAGCAGCAACATTGGATCGGGTTATTGACTTTCGTTTATTTAGACGACTCTTTTGGTGTTTCGTGAAACGGTTGTTTTAACATACGGTACTACTAACAGCAATATGCACTTAGATCTCAAAATTTATTTAACTAGGATAAATAAATAAGATTAAAAGAACCGAGGAAATCGTGGTGAAACTAGCACTGTATATTGCTGTCAATCAAAAATGTGTAAATCCCAACAAAGAAGTATTTATTGGATGAAAGGTCAAACGCATACATAGCTATTTGAACTATGACGTTCACAAAAAAGTTGTAAAACTTTCATTCTGAAAGAAAATAAGAAAACATACAATTTACCTGTTGGCAGAAAAACTATTCAAATTCGTGTAACGAAAGATATTCCATCTTTATCTTTAATTTACAAGGCGTAAAGCATGTTATAAATGTAGCACGAGTTTATGGGCGTATAAACAAACAAAATCATCAGTTCATCGTGCATATTTTTAGCATCTCGACCCAATGACCTGAGGATGGTCTGTAAAACTTTGTATGTGTTCATTCAAGCTAATTTATTGTCATAAAATATTATGTCTGGAAAAAAGCCAAGGTACAGGTTTTTCTCTTTTGAGAAAAGAGCTAGAAACAAAATAGACGTGATAGGTAGAAAGAACATAAACCTAAAATTTATTGTATTCCAAGTTCATTTGCCCCATTTTTACAGGTCAGCAAGTCAGCAATAATATTATCACAAAATACAGGGTGACAGGTAAAGCGATACATTCCTTGAAAGGNTCAATACCGGATCGCTGGTTTCGATTTTTGCCATGTTAGAAACTATATAGTTGAACGATGGTGGCGCCCCCCTGTCAATGAGTTTGGTGGGACAGTATAGTGTATTGAGTCTTTAATCGATTGACTTTTAACGTTCCATTTCACGTTATCTTAGATTAAATCATTAATTCGTTATTATTATTGTATACGACTTACGACATCAGTTAAAATTATCATTTTTACCGTAAAATACTCCCTAATGTATGCGTAATATAAAATCAAAAACCTACCAATGTACAACTCTGTACAAACTTGGGCCCAAAATGGTTGTTCTCCTTTGTATGAATAATCGGCCGATAACAATCGCACTACATACATGTTCGTACTGATTAGCAGCAACATCCGATCGGGTTATTGACTTTCGTTTATTTAGACAACTCTTTCGGTGTTTCGTGAAACGGTTGTTTTAACATACGGTACTACTAACAGCAATATTCACTTAGCTCTCAAAATGTATTTAACTAGGATAAATAAATAAGTTTAAAAGAACTGAGGAAATCGAAGAAATAAACTACGTTCGTCGTGGTGAAACTAGCACTGTAGATTGCTGTCAATCAAAAATGTGTAAATCCCAACAAAGAAGTATTTATTGGATGAAAGGTCAAACGCATACATAGCCATTTGAACTATGACGTTTACAAAAAAGTTGGTAGATAAGTAAAACTTTCATTCTGATAGAAAATAAGAAAACATACAATTTACCGGTTGGCAGTAAAACTATTCAAATTCGTGTAACGAAAGATATTGCATCTTTATCTTTAATTTACAAAGCGTAAAACACGTTATAAATGTAGCACGAGTTTATGGGCGTATAAAAAAACAAAATCATCAGTTCATCGTGCATATTTTTAGCATCTCGACCCAATGACCTGAGGCTGAGGATGGTCTGTAAAACTTTGTATGTGTTCATTCAAGCTAATTTATTGTCATAAAATATTATGTCTGGAAAATAGCCAAGGTACAGTTTTTTCTGTTTTGAGAAAAGAGCTAGAATCAAAATATGTAGACGTGATAAGTAGAGAGAACAAACTTACAATTTATTGTATTCCAATTTTATTTGCCCCATTTTTATAGGTCAGTAATAATATTTACAAAATATACATTAAACACTACAGGGGAATTACAGTTTCAAAGAACTCGCTAAACATTTACATAATGCCACAGAATAAATACTAGTTACATACTAACATTTAAACATTGAGGTCTAATATTTACCTGTAAGAATGACTCAGTAAGAATCTAGGTCAGAAGAAGACCTTAAAAAGATACATGACATGCAAATCTTGAGATCCGAGCTAAGTCGGATCCGGTTTTTAAGAGGTTGATCTAACTGCTAAATTTTGAGTAAATATTACGTAATTATAAGTGGTTAAGTGCTGCATTTTTATTTCATCAACTGCAGAGAAAACGATTTCGCCAAAATTTGGTAAACAAACTTTTTCAACTCGGCCCACATTCGCTCGGGGCAAATCCGAAGATGAAGAGAATCGCTAGGGTTGCCAAATCGAATGACCCTATTATCGGAAAAACTGTTTTTTCTTTTCGAAATTTTGGGACTTTGGTTCGAAGAAACAAAAAAGTAAATGTATTAAAACAACAGCATTAAACATTGTTACAGCCTAAATGTGGCGGGATCACTAAACTAAGTTGTTTTTCGGGAGTCGGGAGGAAATACAGATTTTCAGGAAGAATCCAGCTAAATCCTGATCATCTGGCAACCCTGAGGAGAGCACGTGTAAGTAAGTATACTTCAAGATTCGCGAAGTGAAACCGGCGATATTATAACAACGGTCGAGTTTGGCAACGCGTGCGCGGGCGCACCTATGGCGCAAGCGGTCGCTTGCAAAACTTACGCGGGGCCACGAATTTTTGCTATTGATACGTTGTTGGTAAGTGAAAGAGAATCTGTTTAGTAAAAGTACCTAACCTACCTCTTGGAAAGAATACCAAGAAGTAATGATAATCGTGATAAGGGGTGAAAAAATGTCAATGAACTTTGATGGCTCTACAATTTTAATTTTGTTTAATACTTTTCATAATCCACAACAAGAGACGACGTATAATCAGTTTTTACAACCTACAGAAACTTTCTGTGACATTTCGAGCATTTCAGACCACGACAAGAGAAAAATAATTAAACTGTAAAATTAGACCTCACCCTTACTTTCATCTCTCCAATAAAACATCTTAAGCTTTTATTAATCATAATACAATTGTATTTTATTGTGTACTTAATTAAAATTCTTGTCCTTTGATGTCTACTTACATAAAATTCAATTAGAGAATCTACGTAGACTTTATTAATGTTGAAGCCCGTTTTAGATTTTTAGCAAACAATAAAATCTTAAAACCTGTGTAATACAGTTTATTGACATTGGAATGTACTTTAAAGTATGTAAGCACTTAATTTGGAAGACTTTTTACTTCTACAGAACAAGACTAAAATAAAGTAGAGGTCAAGTTTCGTTTATTAAAATTTTGTAATTAAAAGGAACTGAATTATATCACTTTTTAAGTGCACCTTATCACTAACAACGGATGTTTTATCAACAACGTAACTGGGGCAGGGTCAACGGTCGTGAAATGAAAAAAAATGCAGTGCTTAGTAAAACTTATAAGTTCTTACAAGTAGTAAATAATCGTCGTAAATAGTGTCTTATTTGTATCAGTCAATTGTAAACTTAGTATGAATGAATGAAATCTTGATACTTTCATTCCTATATTGAAAAAAAAAATATTTCAGAAATTTCTCGAAATATTTTTGAACTATTTATACTTTAGAACAGTTATCTTGATACTATAAAATGTAAACAAAACATGAAAAACTTACTTGACAATAAGAGCTAGCGCAGAGCGTTAGAGACGATTCACTAAGAACAACTGACAGTGCATCTAATTAAATACTAATAAAACAATGCTCAGTGGACACTTCGATCTGTTTCACAACCCCAGCCTTTTGTGTTTCGTCGTATTGCACGATACACAATGACCGATGATTCTCCGATTTCGCAACTCATGTACGATTGATGACATTCAGAAGTCGAATTTAAATTCAATAAATAAATATCAGTTTAGTGGCGTGAATTACCTATTGACATTGGAACGTTAATACTTAAAAATGTTCACAAACCTGTGAAAACAATGGTGATTGTTTATTCGATTCAACTCTCAAAAATTTGTGTTGCTAACAATAATTTGTAATAATATTCATTAAAAAAAAGAATATAAAAATGTATATACAAAAAATTATTATAACTTACAAATAATTACTTTACCGGGAAATAATATTTTTCATAAAGATAAAGATAAAGATATTTATTTACATAAACATGTGTGAAAACATATTACAAAGCAACATGATTTGGTCTTACAGTTATAACAGGTGATAGGTACAACATGTTTTACCAAGATATTGGCATGTAAATGATATGTCAAGTAAGAATGTCAAATAATACATTAAAATTCATAATAACAATAGGCACATCTGATAATTGATAATAAAAGTAAAATTAAAATTAAAATTAGTCAAATTTTGTCACTCAAGAAGTCTTGTACAGTATAATAGGCCTTGTCAATTAGAAAATGTTTAAGTTTCTTTTTAAACATAACATTATGTAATTGTTTCAAGTTTTCTGGGATTTTATTATACAGTGTGTCCGGGCATGTAGTGATCAAACTTTAAGGGCGTAATCTATGGACAATTTTATCGATGAAAATACTTCAAATTTAGGGCTTGACCCATTTCTCGCAAAATTACAAGGATTTAAGTTTTGAATTTTAAGTTTTCACCTCTTCCTTCAAAAACAACTGATAGCGTGGGTAGCTTAATACTAATAAGCTAAAATTTTATATCATGCGATAGCCAATAAAATTATCTATTAGTAGAAGTAGAAAGCAGGTACAAGTTTCATACATTTTAAGGGAATAAGAATGGATTTAATTANCAATAATTTGTAATTCAAATATGGATCCTGTCTTTTAAAACTTCAAATATGGATCATAATTCATAATATTCATTAAAAAAAAGAATATAAAAATGTATACACAATACAACAAAAAATTATTATAACTTACAAATAATTACTTTACCGGGAAATAATATTTTTCATACTGGATCGATCTAGAATTTACAGTTACATCTTCATCTCCGGTATTGCTTATGCGGTTATTACAGATTGGCTGTCATTACCGGCAGTTTCAATGCTGTTTTTATTATTACTATTTATCAACTGTATTATTATTTCCTGACTGGAAACAGTAGCTGTTATTATTTCCCATATCAGATCTTTTAATGACAGATTACCTTCTTGATTCTTCTGAGGAGTCGTCTTTGCCGACGCAGCAGCGTCTTCCCACAGTGCCTCAACGTCTCAATCCATCGGCATCGCACCGGCATGAGATCCCATACACCCGAAGACATTATCACCACATCACTTATCACTCACAATTCAAAATAATTCAGTATCACTTCAACTGCAAAGACAATAACATAAACATCTGAACGGGAATGTGTCACCTCTCCTAATTGTCCGCATTAATATTGCGCGCAAATTTTCCACAGAAGCCTTTCAGTAATCTGTATAATTGAATTCAGGCATCGACCTTCGTGAAGGTTGGAGGTATTATTGAAAAAGCGGTCTTGGAGGATATTGACTCGTACCGGTTCCACTGGTTGCACCCCAAGCGGTGGAAAGCAATTTTACGCGGTGCGATCTTGGTTATCTGCATAGGCCTTAATGTATTTTAAACGAGATTACGAGACCACAACATAAACGACCGACTGCAATGAAAGCCAAGGGCGGTGTGACAGCTTCCACATTGAGGCTATTATCCGTAGTTGACCCCTGCAGTGTAAATTCCCACCAGCTCAACGCAGTGAACGGCGCGGAAAATATTGAACAATCATTAATTGGTTTCTAAGAAAAAATCTGATCAATATGCAAAAATGTTGCTTTCAGGGTTCTTACAATAACACAATATTGTGAAATGAGAATACAGTCAGATACATACAATAAGTATAGGTACAACAAATTACGAATGGATTGCAAAATTTGGAACTATTCAAAAACACAAAAGTGATAATCTGCAAATATTTTGGCATAATAAACAAAACACTTTTAAAACAACTTCCAAACTATTTTTAGAGAAATAAAACTTAAATTAAAGATGTATATCTGGGAAAAACAACATTAACATACTTCTCGGTTAGAAGATGTTAGGACGATAAACAAAAACGTTTAACACACTTTCATGACTTCGGCGTATGAGCACGCAGTCAGTCGGACATGTAGTCATAGCATTGATTTATGAACATAAATAGATGATAATTATTTTAGATGGTGCTGAAACATAAATCATTTTTTACATCTTTTGAACTGTTTCGAAAATTGGATGCGATGTTTATTAAAAAGGAGGCGGAGTAGAGAGTGGACTTTCCATTAAACATTATTTGATATTAACTTTCAAAAAACGTTTATGTTGCTGCAGGCTCGATTCGATTTCCTACGTACTAGTGGGCCAGAGAAAACCGAGTAAGGCTGGCGGAACTGTTTCGAAAGCCGGTGCGCATGAGACGCCTAACGGATCGACCTTGCCTGTCTTGTACGCACATCAATGCTCGATGAATGGTAAAGTACAGGCAACAGACCAGACCATACTTTTCAATTGCAAAATAACCCGTATTGCAACAGCATAAGATGCTAGACAATGTTTAACTAGCTTGAAGAGAGCAAGCGAGCTGGGCTGCACTACACTGTTGAACCGTATTAAAGGAATGCGTGATACAGATCTTATGCGTCATTGAGAAGAGAAGTTTAATGATGTGATTAATTAATTTGAAATAATAAACCGATATAAAGAGAAAGCCAATGAACAATGAATAGATCAAACAAGTCTGCTCGTTGAGATGAAAAAAAAGAAACTATTTGAATTATTAAATATGTTAATCATGCAAAGGAAAAACTCGACAATGGACAAGATTACACACAATCGCAATCAATGATAAATGCATCGGAAAAGTACATCGTTTCATACAATTGTTTTAGATTGAAAGCGTGGTGCGATTGGACTAAATCAAAATAGCGATACAAGACGTCAATTGGAGATCACGTTTTGTCGATGTCACGTTCCATTTTCCTCGGGATCACGTGAGACACTCATATGGCTTTAGGACGTACTTTCAAATGTTTGCTTTTAGCCTTCGACAAACTATAAGCCTTGAAACACGAGCCTAAAGTGACACAATAACGCCTGTGTCATCATAAGCTTCCTTTACTGGAAAACAGCATAAGTGTACTAAATTCACTTACTCGAAAGAATAAATTGTGGTTGCAACTTTTTGGTTGACATTAATGACATCATTATGTCTTGCAATACTTCCACAAAGTACACTAAAGTTCAATGGTGTAATTACAGTGTGAAATATCCCAAGCAAATGTGTATTTGTAATAGTGTGAATGAATTTTTTTCTTGCTGTTTACAGATAAATTGAAGTTTGGTTGTACTTATTATTATTCTGTGGTATTAGTGAAGAATCCCAGTAATTTAAGACGAAGTCTTTCACAATTTGTTATATCAATATTCGAGTTAGCAGTCACTTGTTTGTTTTCAAGGAGACCTTCGATACCGTGCCTTCGATTAAAATTATTTTAAATAAATATCGAACGGAGTTGCATCAAGAGACAGGTCACGTCAGCCGTCAGTTTCGACCATGAGGTTATCTCAGATCTTGGTCTCTGGGTCGTTGACCTGTGTAAGAGGGAAATCTGACATTGAAGAAAAGACTTAATTGGACAATTAAGATATATTTCAGTTAAACTGACGACTTTTGACGATCTCTCGGGTTTTTTCCACAATTATTGGACAGAACCTTACTGCAATTACTTATGATGAGCCTTAATGACGAATTTACGCGATATTTACTTTTACAAATGTGTAAAGAGACGTATTTTTTATTTGTATGCTGATGACATTCCATAAAAATTTCAATGTGATCTGCCATTTCAACATTATTGTTGTGTTCAAAGAATTAATAGTAGAGTATTTTATAGTATTGCTACTTATTTGTGCAGATGTAACAAAGACATAAAACACATTTATGGCACTTTTTATTACGTCTGTTGCAATAGGTCACATTATTGAATGAGGCAGAAATAATTTGTTACTATCATCAGACAGATTACAATATTATATTTATAGACTGAAAAGGTATTTAATAGCCAGTATAGATCTTTTCATCCATAAAGACGCGCCCCGCCAATTTTTGGTCGAAGGAAGCGCAGGGTGCGAGAAGTTTGATTCGAACAACACTCATGAATAATAATTTAGCGTGTACCGATAACACCCAATCATTAGCGAAAAAATGGTAGGGCGCGTCTTCGTGGATGAAACGGTCTATACCTTCTATGTAATTTATACAATACATGTTAATTAAACAAAATTATGCCACTGTAAATGATTAGACATGACAACATGACGAAAATGCTTATCGTTTGATTGATAGGTAAGGTTGAAAGTAGATAATTAAAAACATAAACAGAATTTCAGTGAGGATTTGAATTGTTAATCACGAAAATGTGTGGTATGAAGTTTTAATTGGGCAAGATATTTCGCAAGATCGGCAACAGCTAATGATGTAAACAAATCTATTAACCTTAAAGGGCTGTCTTATACTCTAACGACCCTATATGGATCCGAGGTAAACGTAGTTTTCGACGCCCACTATGACCGTTTTGTTTGGTAAAAATCTTTTTTATGCATAACGAACGAGGCAGGTATTTGACCACAATCGCACCTGGTGTTAAGTGAGATGCAGTCTAGGATGGTACATATCTGCCCTGTAAGTGCCTATTCACTCTCGCCTTAAAAAGGCCCGGATTATAGTCTTCGGGAAAGACAGCAGCAGGCAGCGAATTCAGTTCCTAGATGTTCGCATTATAAAAGAGTCATCGAAACGCTTAGTGCGAGCTGGTGGAATATCGACAATTAGGGATGGTACGCTAACCTGCGTCTGGTTCACCGGTGATGGAAGGGGGCTGGTGGAATTGGCTCGTTGTCTATTAAAGTTATGTATGTACCCGGCAAAATAGAAATGTTGCAGAATCTGGAAGCCTTCACTTTTACGCGCAAATATAAATTTAATGAAGACAATCAACATCAGCCGGTCGATGTGCGTCTACTAAGAAATCGAATTTCTTTCACTATTGCTGTTATCAGAATCTAGACTTTTTTACAGCGCAGCAAGATTTCCATTGCAATGGCAGTTATATTTGTGATTGCATTTCGCATAAAATTTTAGCACGTGTTGAAATGCCGGTAGTGTTCTTTCGTTCGTGATGATCTAGCTCATTAATTATCTAATGCATAATTGTTTCTTGGCATTATTATGTAAATATTGTCATTTTAAAGTTTTAAAGCTGTCTTGTAATCTCGCTTTGAAAGTCGAAAAATNCGAAAAACCACGCATTGAAAATCAAGCTTTAGATTAGACTAGGTTTTATTTTGAAAATTATAAATAACTTGAAAAAATCAAACTGCCTAAGGCGGGAATTGAACCCACGACCTTCCGCTTGCCGGGCGACTGCTCTTCCAAGGTTCCAAGACTAGGTTTTATAGGCTAGCCAATATTTAGATAAACAAAATCACTTATGATTAAATTTTTGCTAAAAGCTAGAGACATGAAAGTGTTTTACTTTTTAAAATGTTGATAACATTTTACAAATGAAAATAGAAAAGTTTATAATCAACTTACAGGCGTTTGTTTCGCGCACAATATGATATGATGAATAAAAAGTTATTGAGAAACTAAACTATGAAAACTCCCACGGAGTGCCATGTAGGGAGATAATGAACTATTGTCTTAACCTAGGACCGTAAACATTCACAAACTATTCTAGACACTGACACAAGTGGTGCTAATAAAATGCAAACATAATTGTCATCTTCAAACAAAATAAATGAACGTGACAGACAGTATAACATAAGCGGGCGCTATTAGTTTTTTGTATTTGGATTTTAATTTAGCACTCGGTATCTTATAATTTGCAATGTTCATAAGATAAAAAAACTTCTTGCTTCATCATCAGATCATTGAGTCTCTATTCAGAAGAACGAGCCTCTTTAATTTCATCATCATCATTTCAGCCATAGGACGTCCACTGCTGAACATAGGCCTCCCCCAATGCTTTTCATGTCGATCGATTGGTAGCGGCCTGCGTCCAGCGCTTCCCTGCTACCTTTACGATGTCGTCGGTCCACCTTGCAGGTGGACGTCTCACGCTGCATTTTCCGCTACGCGGCCTCCATTCCAGAACCTTTCTGCCCCATCGGCCGTCAGTTCTGCGTACTATGTACCATGCCCATACAGAGCTTATACAGAAGCTCTTTAATTTACTAAAAGGCAAATAGGAGATTTGGCCTACACTCCCCACACTGGCCAGACGGGGAGGCTAATTTACGTAGGTACTTTATAACGCAACTATTATTCTACTTCTATTCCTTATTTATTCTACTCTAAACATCATGTAAACCGTTTTAGCTACCGAATGTATTTTCATTTTGTTTTGATGTAAAAAAGACAAAAAAAGCACAGTGTTTCAGAATGAAACAATTCATACTCTTTTAGTGTATATGATTCAATGTTTAATTTTAATGACTTATTAATCAATGTTATTTATAATTATTATATCCTGACCATACTTAGCATACTAATGAGCTTCTTAAATTAGCGTTTGTAGGCCCCTGAATATTGAACTGGTCCATAAATTATGTTGCAACTATTTCAATCACATGACAAAGTTGAGTGGCCTGATAGTTGATAGTTAAAGTTAAATTGAATCGATGGACTTTCTGCCTTGCCCAAGCTATAAATAACTATCTATCTAAACTAACACTTAAAAGTAGCCACTTGATTATAAATTATGAAGTATTTTAAGTTCTTGACACAAGTAACCTCTGGTGTATTAAATGAACATGGTTCAACAGGTATCATTAGACACAAGTGTTTTGTTTAATGTTAAATATCATCCACAACGAAGTTACAGGCGGTCGAAAATGGCCTGAATTGCTTCGAGAAAAGGATGGTACGGCCGTGCCGCTTTTTTGCTCGACTTGGTGGGGGCACTGCCGTGCCCCCAGATCGCAATTTAATTGGTAAGAGGAAAATGACAAAATCTATTGACGAAATATGCTATTCGGTAATTAGGGAATGTTCTCACAAAATCACGTTTATGCAATTTATCAGTGAAGTTGTCTCGTTATTTTGATATTGAACCAAGAGAAATACATCAAAATAACTGCGGAAATATTAAAACAAGGAAGGGCGCTACATTTTTAACTTAAAACTGACCTTTATTTGTAGGAAATAAAGTTCACGGCTATGCCTACATGAAATATGACAGATGCTGTACCATACACGTAGACCAAACTAACGATGTTTATCAGAAATGATAGGAGACGTTATGTTTATGAGGTTAAAGTTCTACTTGGAATATCACACAGTGTAGTTTGCCAAAGATGCGTGTTTTAGACTTTATGCCAACAACTTATGCCAACATCGGCCTATTTACAAAACGTCTTTATGGAGTGAATATTTAGGAATTCGTCGTATTCTGTCGTAAACAATACGAATATGGTTCTCGTTGACTTCTCTTTTTTCTTTTAATTGAACAGAATTTTGGGTGTCAGAATGTTACCAAAAAGGAGACCAGCCTCAGAATAAATGAGGCAACGGTCAAGTGAGAAAAGAAACAACAATATTGTACATAATGTAAAACTGGTTGTCTGGTTTCATTATGAAAGAACGCTGACCCAGTTACGGTACAAAGATTGGTCTGAGAAGCCGCAAATCTGCTGACGCATTAATTAAGGTCATCATGACGTAAGAATAACATTTTAAAGTAACGATACAATCGATTACTAAAAAAAACTTCGATCAATTAGTCGAGTAGAAACTGTTCATGTGGGCGTGAATGGGCTCTACGTGATTCGAGTCGTATAACAACAGTATAGAGTTGACTTTGCAATAAATACATGTCGCATCCACAGGCTTCTGTTATACAATTAAATCCTATTATGGCTATTATAAATAAATGATCATGACAATTTATTATCTACTAGCTGACCCGGCGAACTTCGTACCGCCTTAGCGTAGAGATTTTCTTAATATTTTTTTCCGTAAGAACCATCCTTGGACTTCCACAAACATTTAAAAAAAAGAATTATCGAAATCGGTTCAGCCGTTCACACGTGATGCCGTGACAACGCGAAACGGGTTTCATTTTTATATATATAGATTGATAGTCGTTCTGTGTACTGTTTTTACAAACTAAGTTAGAAAATAGAGATCTTTACGTGATGATGAAATTGAATAGAGTAGGTAGAGCCATAATATAACAGTAAGGAAAGCGTCAGTAATTTTTTTTTCCTAAGTATTCCTCAAATTTTCTACAAAAAACCTTTTTCCTCATGATTAATTCATGAAGGTATTTTGCAAAGGATTGAGGAAAATGTTTTATGAAAATTCGTTAGTTAACATTCAAGATAGTGAAAAACATTTGGAAATATGCGAATCTGGGGTCAAAATAAACAAAAAGCACTCAAGAGTTTAAAACTTGGACGTAAACCTCATCCGAGTGACCATAAGCTCCTTCGCAAACAAAAGCAAAAGAGGCGACGTGCTTTCTAAACAACTCCACTTTAGGTCAAGCATTGATACCTAAAAATCCACGGCAAGGAGGGGGTTAGACACACTCCCGTCAGGTTTATTAAGATTAATCACAGTACCACGGAATGTTTTGTTTGAACTGGGTTTAACGCGTGGCGCGATACAAGTCGCGCAGTCGGCTAGTCATGACCATGCCGGCTGCAACACTGCAAGCCCGCTGGTGAGACCACTTCTTTCACCGTGCGGTTACACAATTCCGTTACGTAATTCAACTTTTGCCTTTCCATTGCTAGTGCAGACCGTGTAGCAACCGCTGAATTGATTTACAATGCTGCCGTATTCGGGATTACGTTTTGAGTTCTTTTTATAGACGGCAATGATACCGTTTTCGCGGTTTGACGTTTTATTATTTATGGTTTTATGCGATGCTCATTTTGTTTTTTTTTTATACAAACTTAGATTTTTTTTGTTTTTTTTTCAAATAAAATTTGTATATTGCTGATGTCAATAAATAACCACTTTTATATTGAGGCTCTGTCAGAAAAAGATTTACCAATAGCAAGCTAATATGTACGTGATCTCTATAAATAATATTTTTCCATTATATTTATTTTATTATTAAAAAATTTCCACAAAAAAACGTTATGTTTAGCAAAAAGTTTTATATGACGCATGAGACACACAATACACAATAATACACAATACACAATAATACGCACATGTTTTGCTAAGGTACGTTAAGCTAGCTATCTGGTTTCCATCGCTTACAATCTGACCCAAATGAATAAAAAATAACAAATAGACGTTTGAAATTACGATATCATCAAAACAATCGCCGAATGTGCGTCTTACTTACCAAACAAGTTTGACGTTAGTGCGTCAGATAGCCACACAATATAGGGACTTACTGACGTCACAATCTAAAATCCGTATTATTATAATTTATAATTAGCATGTTTTTAACAGGAAGCGATCTTAGGACGATTACTATTTGCTAAACCTGAACGTTTATTTATTTTACAATGATGTCATCGGTAAACAGAATATTCAATCAGTCAACGACATCTAGTTTGGTGCCGATATTGATGATGTAATGACAAAAATTAAAATACATAATGATAATAATATTTTCAAGGCTAGTATTTTTCGCGATAGCTAGCTAGGAAAACATACACAATGAATCAATGATAATATTTTCAAAGCTAGTTTTTTTTTCGATAGCTGGCTAGGAATATATTCTAGTCTACTTTTACATCAAATGAAAGAAAGTGTAAACAACTTTATTATAGGGATATTAACAGCTTGGACACAGCAAATTGATATAAAATAAGAACTGACATAAAATGAAATTTTGCGTAGTAGTAGATGGAAGTCATAAACCTAACGATATTAACGATATTTAAAGTGGAGTCAAGGAATTTGTATATGAATTTGATTTAACACGTCACTGTGTTTCATTCACGCGAATTTACTGTTTAGTGTTTAGTTAGAACTTCGTTATGCGACCGCAACCGTTAATTTCGTGANATAATAATATTTTCAAGGCTAGTATTTTTCGCGATAGCTAGCTAGGAAAACATACACAATGAATCAATGATAATATTTTCAAAGCTAGTTTTTTTTTCGATAGCTGGCTAGGAATATATTCTAGTCTACTTTTACATCAAATGAAAGAAAGTGTAAACAACTTTATTATTTAACAGCTTGGACACAGCAAATTGATATAAAATAAGAACTGACACAAAATTAAATTTTGCTTAGTAGTAAAAGTCATAAACCTAACGAACGATATTTAAAGTGGAGTCAAGGAATTTGTATAATGCGAATTATTTACTGTTCAGTGTTCAGTTAGAACTTCGTTATGCGACCGCAACCGTTAATTGCGCGAGTCAAAGTCAGAATTAGGCATCAACAACACCAGCTATAATAACAAATCCACATGTTACGTTAATTTGGTAATAAAACGTGAGTACCTGCTTAAATTCAACACGTGACACAATCCACTTGGCGAATTTGTTAAGTACGATACAATCGTTCACGAACTGTACTAACAGACTGACCATCTGCCAAACATTGAGCATCAATTTTTGTTGATAACATGACATATTTCCTGATTAGGTCATGGCCAAATTATACCGTATCAGTAAAGAATTTAACAGTATTGACCGAGTTCCAACTGTCATCTATAAATACATCATCACGAGCCACAAATCATCACAGACACGAAAGAGAGCGTGAAAACTGTAAACTAATCTCTAATTAGGCATCATACCAACTTAGCCGATAAAAATCTAAGCCTTGTATAAAGAGATGTAATTATGTAATTTCGAAGACAAAAATAGACTACTCTGCACAACTGTCTATTAAGAATTCGTTTAGAAATAGCTGTCTAAACGTGGCAGTAAAAAATTAATGCGGCTTGATTGGCGTAATGAGGATATCGTTGCGCAGAAGAACTTGATACGCGATTGTGGCTGTCAAAAGACTAATGTAACCACTAGGACTCAAACCGTTTTTGTTAGATAATCTCATGGGCATCATGAGAAGACGAAGCTTAAATTAGTCAGAGAAATAAAGCAACAGTCTAGCCGCAAGCCATGTAGCTACGCCGTGGATTGTTATGGTTAATAAAAGTGCCGAATGTGCCATTTTACTACTGATACTGACTACTAGAAATTCCTAGAATATTAAAATTAAAATCGCAACCTCCTTTCGGCAGTGTATCAAGCATCATTAATTTATCTCCATCATCAAGTTAAATGCAGGAGTTGATAACTCAAACATTCAAGATGCTCTTCTAAACGAAAATGTAGAGCGAGCAAGCGATGCGTTGCGTGTGACGAACTGACGAGTGACAGCTGCAGTGCACTTTCCAAACTAGTTTTTTCAGCACCAAACACCAAAACAAAACGCTCATAGCAATCGTAACATCTGATGTTGCATATAACACACGCACGCTGATGACATTATTGTTTAAAAAACAAGCCGATTGCGGAATTCAATTTATTATTCAAAGCAACAAAGAAGCGAAAAAAGAACAATGAATAATTTATGATCCCGACAGAGAATGTGAGATAAAAGTATATTATGTTTAACAAACCAAACAATGTCACAGTGCGCAATGAATAACAAAGTGAGCGAGCGCTCGTTTTATTAACAACAGCTACTACCGCTATTTGACGAAAGCAATTAGTTTACAGCACAGTTTTGCAAAATCTACTCTAGACTTCATCAATCTGGCGTCAGCTCTTCAGTCAACTTCATTACCTCTTTCCAATGGTCAATTGATCTAAAGAGATATTCAGCTGGCACCATTTCAGTTTATTTTTAGAAAATAATATTCGATCAACCAAATCGAGATCACTTAACCGTTTTAAAACGGCACCAGTTTTCTAAACAACTTTCATTAAGTCAGAAGTTAAAGTTACTCACTCCTAAGTTGTGTGCAAGTGCAAATTTACCGAGTCAGATAACTTGGCCTTACTTAAATGATCAGGCGCTGTGAAGTTGGATCGCAGAAAGTACATTTTTATCTCTATCGTTTAGANCGTTTAGGTAGGAAAATTTGCTAGCAAAGTAAGAAACGAGGTCAGGATAGCAAAAACACAAATACTTTGTAACTAGGTTAACTAAGTAAGACGGCGGGAGATAATAATCATAATCTGATAAGGGGCTTTAAGCATATTCGAATTTCGCAAAGAAAAACAGAAATTATGGATATATATGGTTACTGTTCCTGCCAAAGCAATTAAAACTAAAATAAATCCCAGCTTGAACGAACGACAAACAAATCTTTAAAACCATTAAAGACATGAAAGCAATTCATAATACGAGGTTAGTTTAATAAAAACAAATAACGATAAGATCTACATTACTCGTATAAATTGAACGACAGCCACTTCCCGACATTTCACGGCGGAAATTGTCGGTACTTTCTAGCATTCCATGCTTCTTTCCCAGTCATTAGAAAGATTTCAATCATCATTAACGTAAACGATAACACTGAAAGTTAACATATCATTACAGAGGTATACCGCGATGATTTCAGCATACCAGAGGAGAACGGAGTCGAACATGTAACAGGTTTGATTAATAAGGTACAAAAAGACTTATTTAAACTCGGTCTCAAACATGGATGCAACGTTCGCGTACCAGTTACTCGGATGGCACATATAGATGTAATTCGTTTGAGCAACATCAACGTGCCGCAACTTCGATCGTGCGATGAAATAATTGACCGTTGTAGTGACCTACTCGATAATAAGGTTGAAAGTAAGATTTTGAAGCATGAGCAATAGACAGCACATAATTTATAATGAGATGATCGTCCACGTAATCCAGATTAACTGGGGTAATTTTAGTATTCAGTTCGCAATAAATCATTCTACTCAAAGTAGGATACTTAATAAGTCAAGGAAATATTTCCTCGACAAATTGGTGCACGATTTTTTATAATCTGTGAATATTTATCCAAATAGGTCACCACATTCATATAAACGATCATACTTGACTGGAAATTGGCTTTTAGTCAAATCAAATGTAATTTAATTAATTTACGGTTCTCAATTTGTTGTACTGTCGCGAATGGATCCGGCGCCCTTATTTCAATTATTACAAAGGTCAAATCACCGTGCTAGCTTTCAGAAGGTCTGATAAACGGGTAATCAGGCCCCAGTCTGGTTACCTACTTGTAGATTCTCTTCACCCAATGGCCCGGTTCTCGCTTCCGTGGTCCACTTTCGAACGCTCTCTAAATCCGATCGCCCAAACAGTGTCGAATGGATTGCGCAACAGAATTGGTATTAAATTTGTATTGTCAATTGTCATCGCAAACGGTAACGAGACGGCTAGACGAAGACGTAACGCCAATATTGGCACGAATAATTTTGTTGTCAAATTCATAATAATAATCGCCTGTCACGGTGTTTATCTCGTCCTCCTTCATTCTTCGACAACAACTGGTTTATTTGATGATTAAACTATCAGAACCGGCGAGTCTATTTTGAAACATAAAATTTACATGGATTCAGTTGGAAGAATTTTAGATCTTTCTAATAATATATGTTATGGATAACAATATCGACATTTCACTGTATAGTATCGAAAAAAGATTGATTGCTTTATTCCGTGTAGAATTCAGTATCAATTAGAAACACTCGAGCTAAAACGATTAAAGGAAAATTGTCTTGACGTATAAAAAATATAAAGCGATATAA